ATCTTCAATAACCTGAAGGTAAAAAATGTCTGTTAATGCATTCTTAATTACCAGACAGACTAACTTCAAGCTGAGCTTGGTGAAACTGAGGACAGTGAAATGCTGCTTTTCCTTTCAGACCACCACCACGTGTAAAGTGGGAAACATACAATCTACTCCCTGCCACAGATAACAGTTCATGCGTTTAAGGGACAGAGAACAGACTATTCCATTTATGCAATGACACGCTCCATTTCTGCTCTTTCTGTTCCTGGATAACGATTTGCCACCACCCGTGAACAACGTGAGCAGTTTTACAACACAAGCTGCACACACGACCGGCAGCAATCGTCACGCTGCAGAACTTTCTGGACTGACCACAAATCCACAGGTCGTACAGACAGAGAACGCTTCCCTCTGTTTCTTCCAAGCCAACCAGCAGCCCAGTTCTCTTCTGCCAGGAAAACTCCTTTACCACACGCACAGTGGGAGGCTGTTTATTTGCTCCCTGGAAACGGTACGCAGGGAGCCGCGCTCCTGTCACAGAGCTCACCGCCTCGAGTTGAGGACCACACGCCTGCCACGCCAGGCCATGGCTCCCTGGAAGAGAAACGCAAGAGGACTTAAGCAAAGGTCCAGCAGAAGACTGAAAACTGCCGAGAAGTCACAGTCACCGCCCTTTCCTTCAGTAAAAGTACCGAGCAGAGGAAGACCAACCCGCCCGATTCCGGTCAAGTAGTTAAAGCCACCCGTTGAAATCCTCAAGGAATGTATCTGAAAATTAACACCTTTGTTATTTTGCATTTGTACTTGTCAGTCCCTTCTCTCGGCCCTTCCTCACTTGGCAGGCTTCCCAGTCCTTTGATCATCTTTGTGGCCCTTTTCTGGACCCTCTCCAGCCTGCCCACATCTTTTTAGTACAGCGGGGACTAAACTGCTGGCAGACTCGAGGGTGGGCTAGCCAGTGAGCAGGAGGAAAACCCGTCTCTGGGAAGACCGGGTGTCTAAGCCAGCGGTGAGGGAGGGAGCCCAGGGTGGGGGCACAGAAGATAGCTGGGCTTGAGGCCATGCTGACCTCCTGGGGCTCTGTAAACGAAGGGCGTGCGTGGGAACCCCCGGAGTGACAGCACGCCCGCGGTGTCACTCGCGAGCTTGAATCGCAACAAGCCGGAGAGGAGGCCTCAATCTGCTGACTTCAAAACAAAATCTGGTCAGTCAGTAGCAGCAAGGCTATGGTTCAAAATCAAACGTAAAAATAAAGAGCCACGACATGCTTTTTTTCCTCTGTCCAAGAACTGTGCGTAATAGGAGTAACTCGACTGCCGGGCTGGGCGAGCCGAGGACTCAGGCCAAGGAGGAAGAACGTAGCCGACTCAGTATGAGTGATAAAGTGTGCTTCAGTTTATTGATTTTCATTACAGCCTTTTATAATCCTTCTACTAATTATGCCTACTAGTCACTAGCTGATTGGCTTAAGCTCTAAGGGTCGTATTCTCACGGTCCACCTACTTGCAGTTAGCTTACAGCACAAGTTTCTCATAACACTAAGTTTCTCATGCTACTATTTCTGATTCCTGTTTACTTGTTTTCGATACACAACAGTACCGTAACACAATGTTTCTCAGACCACCGTTATCATAACACTGGGTTTCTTAGACCACTATTCCTAATTCCTCTCAACCTGTTTTCGACACACCACGGTACACAAGGCTGAAGTGTCCTTGACATTCCTCAGGTATCAGCAGCTGCCAGCAGCTGCAAGCAAACCCTAGTGAGGCCCAGCATCAGCAGCTAGAGCACGCTCTGATCATACAATTGCTCGGTGGGCTCAGGACCCTTGTCTCTGAGCCATTCTCCAACACTCGACTACAGATAGGGATTTCATTTCCACATTGGTACGGCAAGCGAGATGGGAAGGAATGAGTTTCCACAGAAACACGTTCACAAACGGCATCCCTGCGTCGTTCCTGCTGGCACACAGCGGGGGAGGCTGGTTTGGGAGGACAAAGCACTTTCTGAAGGGGAAGGAACACAGGAGTAAATCGCAAGCAGCCCTCAGTAACCAGGGCAGTACTCTCACAGACAGACGGCCCTGCTGCATGGGCGTGAAGCTTTCTGCTTCCAGCAGTGCTCGAATCCGCTGGACAACCAGCGCAGGATGCTGATGGAGTGGGAGCATCCAGCAGCTACAAAAGCTGTACTGCATGGCTGAAAACTTGGCTCCTGCTGTAGCGGAGAGGCGCAGCACTGTAAAGCTTCTGTACCCTATGAAGCTGTACAGAAGGCGGCATTAATTTGCCTTACCGAGGTGCTGGGAAGACTTTCTCATGCATACCCATCTGTAAATCCAGCTGTACTACCTCAACTTTGTTTCCCACAGTATTTTAGAGGATCCACTCTGTCTTGTACCGGAAGCTGCTCCAGAGTCACGGTTCCCATTTTTCCGATTTGAGAGTAACCCAGCCTTTTAAAGTACCGCCTGGAAAGGTCTTGGAAAGAAGTGACACTTTGCGCTAATCCCACCTGGCACTGCTTGTACTTTTCCCAATGCTGGGTGGCTTTGAAGAGCTCTTTGCACACAACGGGCACCGGGCCTCTGTTTGCAGCGCAGCCGATCGTCCAACAGCTCTTCCCGAGCCGGCCTGCCCGTACGCCAGCAGAGCAGCGTTATAACCTTGCCAGGCGTTCTCCAGCGCTCCTTGGGCCAGATCACACAACACCTCGCTCTAAACAACGATCGAGTGCATCCTCTTCACAGATGAGCAAGCAAACGCATACACAAGCACTGCTGCCCAGGACGCGTGCCCCCACTAACAGGTTGAATCAAGATTTGCAAACGTGCTTGAAAGTAATACCGAGTTCCGGGATGACGGGAGCGTAGGCAAAAGCTAGGTAAGGCTTCCAACCAGTAAACCGACCCGTGCCAGTCACCTGCAGTACGCTTACATGAACGTTAATAATGGGAGATAAACTAAATGAGCAGTCTACGACCGTGTATTAGCTACAACTGCTTGTAGTTGGTTCTTTGAGTAAAATCTTACCTGGCCTGCATAGCTGTTGGATCCGGCTGAGACGAGCATACCGTTCTCGCCCTTTCGGAAGCCACTACGAGATCACTAGGCTAGATGAAACGTAAAGGCCTTCCAGCGCCCTGGATTCTGAGGGCCACATATGCTTGTGCTGTTGGTGCTCACAGAAATCACACACTACTTCCCTGCACCCTTCTCTGTGTACTGAAAATACGGTTGTAGCACCAAAAGGCAAGCGATCGGTCACGCAGCGATAGCTCCTGCTTTTGTCTGCATTTAAGCCAAGTTGAACAGCAAGGCACACCACAGCAAGGACTGCTGTGGGATAAGCCTGCTCTTAAACTATGCCAGGGGATACACAGCCAAGGAGTAAGCGACCTGAACCAACGGACACGTCGGTAACTGTAACTTGCATTTTTCCCTCTCCCTCGCATACTGGTCATCCACACGGCAGAGGGCTTTGAAAAACACATTTTATTTAGGAACGGCTTGAATTCAACAGGAACCACAGAACATTTATCTCCAAGCACATCCAAGAGACTCGTTACCTGGACTACTTTGCCGAGAAAAAAAAAAGCATTCCTGGATTGGAAACCTGCAAGTTTTGCACAGAAGACAAAAGTACCAACAAAATAAGAAAAAACTGCTACCTTCTTACTTGAGAGTCTACAATTTCATAGTATTCTCAGATTGGCCTAGACTAAGAGGTGAAAAGCACTGCCTATCAACTCATGAGAAAACACGGGCTGGCTGCTGCCTGTAGCTTGTTTTTTCGCCACCAGAAATCAACAGCTAAGCTATTTGCGATTCGGCACATGGGAACAGATGAAAAACCGCCAGGTGATTTTGCATCGTGATACTCCAAAGTAGTTTGGTCTGAACGGGCAGAGAAGTTGCTGTTTTCTTTGCTGACATCCATTTTCTCCAAACCATCTCCAGGTATGCTTTTTGAAAACGCTTCCACTTCAGCACGATCCTCCTCAGGATTGCTCAGAGTAAGCACAGTTGCCTTATCTCTAGTCTCAGACGATGCATCCTCCGCCATTCCATGATGATGCTCCCATGAATCCCCAGGCAGTGCTATATCATCGTTGGTTACCTTTATTAAAATACAAAAAAAAAAGCCAACAAAACCTCACAGTCAATAACATGCAGGTGGTTTTTGTAAAGGGAAGACAAAAAACCCCCCCAACATATACTGATATTTGTGTCCCTAGTGTCCCAAAAACCACACTGCAACTCTGCCTCAGGGAGAGGACGAGGTACGGCTGGTGGCTCTGCAACTCTAGCACTAGAACAAACAGGGAAAGGTAACTGACTTTCACTCCCCTGAAGTCCAAACATACCGGAATTCAGGTTTATTTGACCATCGCCCCTGAAGGAAAATCATCTGACAACCACCAGCCTCTTTTCCGCTCGTTACAATTCCGCCCGATGTTAAGAAGGAAAGGCAGAAACGAAGCAGACACTGGGCAGGAAGCGGTCAAAGATCCCTGTTTGGCCACATAACCAAGTGTCTCAAAAGCAGTACACCGAGAGCTTGGTGGCAACCACAGTTCTAGTTTCAGCTGTCAAATTCTTGAAAACACATTTACCATCGTGTCAGTATAGGTCTTGGCCTAAATAAGATTATCATAGCCGAAAAAGTCTCTCTCCAAATATTACTTTGGATGAACTGATTACAAAAAAGCCAATCAAAGTTTATTCAGGTACACCTTCCTTCCAGAATACTAACATAATCCAAATGGATTTTTTGCTATTCCTCTCCACACACGTAGCTCAAAACTGAACTTTGTGAAAAGGCTGCTTACCTATCATATCGTGAGGAAAAGGTTTTCTGCTCATTTCCTGCCCATGCTGCTCCAATTCTGGATAACACATTACTCATGAAAGTTGCTATGATATCCAGATATCCTGAATTGGCTGGTTTTGTTGATCTTGATACTGGCTTTGGTCTCGCAACTGTAAAGCACAAGAGAAAACCTATCAGCCTTGTGTTATCAAAGTGAGCGTTTCTTGACCGCTGTATTCCCCGCGCTAAAAATTACCTCCTCTTAAGGCCGACGAAGGCAAATGGTAAGGCCTGGCTCTCTCTGCAGCCAGCTGCCTTTGAACTCTAGGAAGGATCTTCCGATATGGGCGTAATTCAGACTTTCTGGCACATGCCCCCTCTCTGAAGCGAGGATGGCGATCATTCCGATGAATAAAAAGCGTAAAGCAGTTAACTAATTACAGCGAGTGCACTGCACAGAACAGCAGCAAGTTCTACCCATCAGCACACGCCAACTTCACCCGGTAATTTTAGCAAAGTGGAAGGCAGACTAGATCAGTAACAGAACCGACAACTGTCAGTTAAAACAGTTCTGGCACTCAGCAGAACCTTATTCCGATACGCCTCTTGTTACCTTTGAGGAACCCCTTACAACAGGCAGTAAGAGGTGTAACAAAACCAGATCCTGACAACTTGTTTGTACCCTGCGGAGAGCTCCGACATGTAGACACGAGCACACGGCCCTGTTCTGCCCCTGGTCTTGGCACGGTCCTTCCGCAACTGCCTAACGAGCTGGGTCAGGGAATCCAACCGACGGGACCAAAGGCCGAGTAGAAGGGGGCAACTAGCAGGTGGACCAACTTCGTTTGACAGCAGTATGAATGCTACGCCCGGTGCGAGGCAAGAAGCAAACCCCAGAACTTTGGGGCTAGAGAACAGGCGACAGACCAGCTCTCTTCATCCCGAGTCTGTTTTTACCGTAAGTTAAGCAAACTCAGCCTCGCAGAAAGAGAGATCAAAAGTAAATGCAGCTCATGACTTCTGCTGCTTTCAGATGCACAAACCTTAACAAGCCCAAACAATGGCTCGAGCTGTATTCCTCACCTTCCTGCCATACCACCGCTTGAAAAGGCATCGCGGGAAGCTGAGCTAGCAATTTGGAACAACCACAGCTCCTAACAACGCTTGAGCGAAACCGCCAAGGACACCGACATGCATTTTGAATATCTGCCTGCCGACGGGTGATGTTACAGAAGGTCTAGCGGAACCTTTTTGGACCAAATTCAAGCCTGCCATTCTTGATCGCAGGTCCAGGTCTCAATATAAGGAGTTCTGGCAAACTGTCCAAAATTCTAAACCAAATAACAGACTAGAAAGCCTTTGACTGTAAAATCCACTAACTACAGCCCAGCTTACCCCAACAGTCCATTTCTCATCTGAGTTCCCTTCCTTGAAAGACACTCTGTGTTTGTTTGCTCTGGGAGGAGGAGTAACTGATTCTCCTGGAAACGCAGAGGGAGTTGCCTGGGGTGTGCTGCGAACGCTGGATCTGAGGATAGACCGAGGAGTAAAGCCGGGAAAACCAGAAGCAGATGTGGCCAAAACTTCAGCTTTCTATGAAAAGAAAGAAAAATATTTAATTGAAAACCAATTCGTACCTTCAAAACGGAAGACTCCACTTCTCCAAAGCATTAGTTTCCATTACAGACTGAGGTTGCAGAGGCAGGGAGGACAAAGTTAACCTCTGCACTGCTCTTTCTCCAAAGGTATGAAAATCTTAACGATAAAACCCCCCAGGATCTTGTGGATTTTTGGTTTTCTTTTGGTATGTTGGTTGGTTGGTTGGTTGGTTGGTTTTTCCCACCAACACCAACTAAAATGTGATTTTTCAAATTAATTTCCTGAGGAAACAAGGATATGGCGTCTTGATTTCTGCATTGTTCTCTCCCTTCCCAGTAATTTTTGCAATTCCTACTCTGCTCTCTAAAAGGCGTACCACTTCAAATGTTACCCCAGCTACTGCCACTGAACACACTGCCATGCAAAATGGCAATCAGCAAAGCAACAGCGAGAGCTTATTGCTTCACTGATGAATCCATCCGCGCGCTACACCAAATTAAGGGGCTGCTGTACAAATACCTACACATCTTCACCTAGAAGCATCCAGGTCTTCTTACCTCGGCTCGGAAGAAGAATTTACAGTATGGAAAGGGTTTGAAAGGGGGAGAAGGAAACTAGCTCAATGAGAGAGGACAATATTCAATGAGAAGAAAAAGGCTGTCATTCAGAGAGATCACAACTACTTTGTTCAGGCAGGCAAAGGCAAAGAGACCCGCACCAAGAAGACAGGTCAAATGTTGTTACTTCCTTACAGGAGAAGAGTTTGAAGGCACTGAATGGACACACAGTTTAGCGCAAACAATTAACCAGTACAATTGCTGCCAAAAGCCATCACTGAGTTGGACAGAGACTGACATCCCTTAATGGACATCACTTAGCTGTCACTCACCTCACCGGATTAAGAAACTGAAGCATGCACGTTCTTGCTGGTGGCTATGCAAGTCAAACTGTGCAGAGCTGCTGAGCGCTTGCATAACGAGATGGTTAAGCCACAAACTGCATCTTTAAGGGTCTAAGCATATTGAAAAGCCCAATTTTAACTTCCTTTGTTCTGCACAGTTCATGAAGTTATGGGACAACGTGCCTACTGCAATTAGCTTAGAACTAAACTTGCCCTCTTCAAGGCTTTTCCCAACTTCCTGCTTCCAAAAGGACTGTATGTACAACCACCCCACATGCTCTGAAAATTTGACACAGTTTGAATCCAGCAGTGTTTGTGTCAAACATTTTGGTGGTTTCATTTTAAACAAAGTTTACAGGCCATTTGTTTGGTCGGTTCTTACTGTTTTTCCAAATACAAACCTTAACCACAAGAGGAGTCTGTAGCAAATTGAACTCTGGTGCTCTTGAAGAATTCTTTTGTAACAATGGTGACTGCCAGCTACCACCCTGTGCTGCAGAACATGAAGGGACAGGACGATCCACCAAACCCAGCAACCTGTTAAGATACCCAATTTAAAATATGAACATAAATAAACTAAGGAAGAAAATCACGCGGCGTTCAAGAAATCTTGAGATGAGATGTAAGAAAGACATTCAAGGAACGAGAAATAGAGGTGAGCCCTCACTGTTGGGGGGTGTATCAGGTCCACGCACAAGTTACCGCCTTTTCCTTTTTTCTTAGTTACTTCTGTACATTTCAAGCTTGATTTCCTAAATCACTGCCTCTTAGGGAAGAGAAATCCCATTTTAAGTTGACCAAGGGATGTAATTCTCACGTCAAAGAGAAATTCACCTGCATTTCAATGCTGGGACCACTTCAAATTCTCCACCGAGTTGTGTCCTTAAATTGCCCTTTTCTTTACCAGATACAAACTAAATGCAAACAGAGCACTTTGCAAACACAGAAAGTATATACACACGCACACACACACATACATATACACAGACATAAGAAAAGCAACACCATTTTGAAATATTCACTCTCTAGATCTACTATACCTGGAAGATTTTTGTGAAAATCTTGTGACCAGTGTCCCAACAACCGCACTGCGCAACTCTGCCTCAGGGAGAGGACGAGGTACGGCTGGTGGCTCTGCAACTCTAGCACTAGAACAAACAGGGAAAGGTAACTGACTTTCACTCCCCTGAAGTCCAAACATACCGGAATTCAGGTTTATTTGACCATCGCCCCTGAAGGAAAATCATCTGACAACCACCAGCCTCTTTTCCGCTCATTACAATTCCGCCCGATGTTAAGAAGGAAAGGCAGAAACGAAGCAGACACTGGGCAGGAAGCAGTCAAAGATCCCTGTTTGGCCACATAACCAAGTGTCTCAAAAGCAGTACACCGAGAGCTTGGTGGCAACCACAGTTCTAGTTTCAGCTGTCTTAAATTCTTGAAAACACATTTACCATCGCGTCAGTATAGGTCTTGGCCTAAATAAGATTATCATAGCCGAAAAAGTCTCTCTCCAAATATTACTTTGGATGAACTGATTACAAAAAAGCCAATCAAAGTTTATTCAGGTACACCTTCCTTCCAGAATACTAACATAATCCAAATGGATTTTTCGCTATTCCTCTCCACACACGTAGCTCAAAACTGAACTTTGTGAAAAGGCTGCTTACCTATCATATCGTGAGGAAATGGTTTTCTGCTCATTTCCTGCCCATGCTGCTCCAATTCTGGATAACACATTACTCATGAAAGTTGCTATGATACCCAATATCCTGGATTGGCTGGTTTTGTTGATCTTGATACTGGCTTTGGTCTCGCAACTGTAAAGCACAAGGGAAAACCTATCAGCCTTGTGTTATCAAAGTGAGCGTTTCTTGACCGCTGTATTCCCCGCGCTAAAAATTACCTCCTCTTAAGGCCGACAAAGGCAAATGGTAAGGCCTGGCTCTCTCTGCAGCCAGCTGCCTTTGAACTCTAGGAAGGATCTTCCGATATGGGCGTAATTCAGACTTTCTGGCACATGCCCCCTCTCTGAAGCGAGGATGGCGATCATTCTGATGAATAAAAAGCGTAAAGCAGTTAACTAATTACAGCGAGTGCACTGCACAGAACAGCAGCAAGTTCTACCCATCAGCACACGCCAACTTCACCCGGTAATTTTAGCAAAGTGGAAGGCAGACTAGATCAGTAACAGAACCGACAACTGTCAGTTAAAACAGTTCTGGCACTCAGCAGAACCTTATTCCGATACGCCTCTTGTTACCTTTGAGGAACCCCTTACAACAGGCAGTAAGAGGTGTAACAAAACCAGATCCTGACAACTTGTTTGTACCCTGCGGAGAGCTCCGACATGTAGACACGAGCACACGGCCCTGTTCTGCCCCTGGTCTTGGCACGGTCCTTCCGCAACTGCCTAACGAGCTGGGTCAGGGAATCCAACCGACGGGACCAAAGGCCGAGTAGAAGGGGGCAACTAGCAGGTGGACCAACTTCGTTTGACAGCAGTATGAATGCTACGCCCGGTGCGAGGCAAGAAGCAAACCCCAGAACTTTGGGGCTAGAGAACAGGCGACAGACCAGCTCTCTTCATCCCGAGTCTGTTTTTACCGTAAGTTAAGCAAACTCAGCCTCGCAGAAAGAGAGATCAAAAGTAAATGCAGCTCATGACTTCTGCTGCTTTCAGATGCACAAACCTTAACAAGCCCAAACAATGGCTCGAGCTGTATTCCTCACCTTCCTGCCATACCACCGCTTGAAAAGGCATCGCGGGAAGCTGAGCTAGCAATTTGGAACAACCACAGCTCCTAACAACGCTTGAGCGAAACCGCCAAGGACACCGACATGCATTTTGAATATCTGCCTGCCGACGGGTGATGTTACAGAAGGTCTAGCGGAACCTTTTTGGACCAAATTCAAGCCTGCCATTCTTGATCGCAGGTCCAGGTCTCAATATAAGGAGTTCTGGCAAACTGTCCAAAATTCTAAACCAAATAACAGACTAGAAAGCCTTTGACTGTAAAATCCACTAACTACAGCCCAGCTTACCCCAACAGTCCATTTCTCATCTGAGTTCCCTTCCTTGAAAGACACTCTGTGTTTGTTTGCTCTGGGAGGAGGAGTAACTGATTCTCCTGGAAACGCAGAGGGAGTTGCCTGGGGTGTGCTGCGAACGCTGGATCTGAGGATAGACCGAGGAGTAAAGCCGGGAAAACCAGAAGCAGATGTGGCCAAAACTTCAGCTTTCTATGAAAAGAAAGAAAAATATTTAATTGAAAACCAATTCGTACCTTCAAAACGGAAGACTCCACTTCTCCAAAGCATTAGTTTCCATTACAGACTGAGGTTGCAGAGGCAGGGAGGACAAAGTTAACCTCTGCACTGCTCTTTCTCCAAAGGTATGAAAATCTTAACGATAAAACCCCCCAGGATCTTGTGGATTTTTGGTTTTCTTTTGGTATGTTGGTTGGTTGGTTGGTTGGTTGGTTGGTTGGTTTTCCCACCAACACCAACTAAAATGTGATTTTTCAAATTAATTTCCTGAGGAAACAAGGATATGGCGTCTTGATTTCTGCATTGTTCTCTCCCTTCCCAGTAATTTTTGCAATTCCTACTCTGCTCTCTAAAAGGCGTACCACTTCAAATGTTACCCCAGCTACTGCCACTGAACACACTGCCATGCAAAATGGCAATCAGCAAAGCAACAGCGAGAGCTTATTGCTTCACTGATGAATCCATCCGCGCGCTACACCAAATTAAGGGGCTGCTGTACAAATACCTACACATCTTCACCTAGAAGCATCCAGGTCTTCTTACCTCGGCTCGGAAGAAGAATTTACAGTATGGAAAGGGTTTGAAAGGGGGAGAAGGAAACTAGCTCAATGAGAGGGACAATATTCAATGAGAAGAAAAAGGCTGTCATTCAGAGAGATCACAACTACTTTGTTCAGGCAGGCAAAGGCAAAGAGACCCGCACCAAGAAGACAGGTCAAATGTTGTTACTTCCTTACAGGAGAAGAGTTTGAAGGCACTGAATGGACACACAGTTTAGCGCAAACAATTAACCAGTACAATTGCTGCCAAAAGCCATCACTGAGTTGGACAGAGACTGACATCCCTTAACGGACATCACTTAGCTGTCACTCACTTCACCGGATTAAGAAACTGAAGCATGCACGTTCTTGCTGGTGGCTATGCAAGTCAAACTGTGCAGAGCTGCTGAGCGCTTGCATAACGAGATGGTTAAGCCACAAACTGCATCTTTAAGGGTCTAAGCATATTGAAAAGCCCAATTTTAACTTCCTTTGTTCTGCACAGTTCATGAAGTTATGGGACAACGTGCCTACTGCAATTAGCTTAGAACTAAACTTGCCCTCTTCAAGGCTTTTCCCAACTTCCTGCTTCCAAAAGGACTGTATGTACAACCACCCCACATGCTCTGAAAATTTGACACAGTTTGAATCCAGCAGTGTTTGTGTCAAACATTTTGGTGGTTTCATTTTAAACAAAGTTTACAGGCCATTTGTTTGGTCGGTTCTTACTGTTTTTCCAAATACAAACCTTAACCACAAGAGGAGTCTGTAGCAAATTGAACTCTGGTGTTCTTGAAGAATTCTTTTGTAACAATGGTGACTGCCAGCTACCACCCTGTGCTGCAGAACATGAAGGGACAGGACGATCCACCAAACCCAGCAACCTGTTAAGATACCCAATTTAAAATATGAACATAAATAAACTAAGGAAGAAAATCACGCGGCGTTCAAGAAATCTTGAGATGAGATGTAAGAAAGACATTCAAGGAACGAGAAATAGAGGTGAGCCCTCACTGTTGGGGGGGTGTATCAGGTCCACGCACAAGTTACCGCCTTTTCCTTTTTTCTTAGTTACTTCTGTACATTTCAAGCTTGATTTCCTAAATCACTGCCTCTTAGGGAAGAGAAATCCCATTTTAAGTTGACCAAGGGATGTAATTCTCACGTCAAAGAGAAATTCACCTGCATTTCAATGCTGGGACCACTTCAAATTCTCCACCGAGTTGTGTCCTTAAATTGCCCTTTTCTTTACCAGATACAAAACTAAATGCAAACAGAGCACTTTGCAAACACAGAAAGTATATACACACGCACACACACACATACATATACACAGACATAAGAAAAGCAACACCATTTTGAAATATTCACTCTCTAGATCTACTATACTTGGAAGATTTTTGTGAAAATCTTGTGACCAGTGTCCCAACAACCGCACTGCGCAACTCTGCCTCAGGGAGAGGACGAGGTACGGCTGGTGGCTCTGCAACTCTAGCACTAGAACAAACAGGGAAAGGTAACTGACTTTCACTCCCCTGAAGTCCAAACATACCGGAATTCAGGTTTATTTGACCATCGCCCCTGAAGGAAAATCATCTGACAACCACCAGCCTCTTTTCCGCTCGTTACAATTCCGCCCGATGTTAAGAAGGAAAGGCAGAAACGAAGCAGACACTGGGCAGGAAGCGGTCAAAGATCCCTGTTTGGCCACATAACCAAGTGTCTCAAAAGCAGTACACCGAGAGCTTGGTGGCAACCACAGTTCTAGTTTCAGCTGTCTTAAATTCTTGAAAACACATTTACCATCGTGTCAGTATAGGTCTTGGCCTAAATAAGATTATCATAGCCGAAAAAGTCTCTCTCCAAATATTACTTTGGATGAACTGATTACAAAAAAGCCAATCAAAGTTTATTCAGGTACACCTTCCTTCCAGAATACTAACATAATCCAAATGGATTTTTCGCTATTCCTCTCCACACACGTAGCTCAAAACTGAACTTTGTGAAAAGGCTGCTTACCTATCATATCGTGAGGAAATGGTTTTCTGCTCATTTCCTGCCCATGCTGCTCCAATTCTGGATAACACATTACTCATGAAAGTTGCTATGATACCCAATATCCTGGATTGGCTGGTTTTGTTGATCTTGATACTGGCTTTGGTCTCGCAACTGTAAAGCACAAGGGAAAACCTATCAGCCTTGTGTTATCAAAGTGAGCGTTTCTTGACCGCTGTATTCCCCGCGCTAAAAATTACCTCCTCTTAAGGCCGACGAAGGCAAATGGTAAGGCCTGGCTCTCTCTGCAGCCAGCTGCCTTTGAACTCTAGGAAGGATCTTCCGATATGGGCGTAATTCAGACTTTCTGGCACATGCCCCCTCTCTGAAGCGAGGATGGCGATCATTCTGATGAATAAAAAGCGTAAAGCAGTTAACTAATTACAGCGAGTGCACTGCACAGAACAGCAGCAAGTAATTCATGAAGTTACGGGACGACGTGCCGGCTGTACTGGAGCTGGCAGCAGTAATTGTTTACCACAGCCCACTTCCTTGGGAGCAGGTGATCATGTCTGGTGCAGCCAGCTGATGTTTGCAACAGCTCGCATCCCAGTGAGACCCCCCCGTCGTCAGCTGCTGCACTGAGCCCAACGCTCGGAGACACCGACGGGGGCCACGGGGGGTCTGAGGCAAAGATGCTTTGTGTTGTGCATGACCAGCACGGCCTGCACGCTTCCTTGCGCGTATCTGTGGCACAGAATTTATAGACGGGTCTCTAGAGACAGGCCTATCAGGGCTGTTCCCCGTCAAACTCCCTAGTTTGGATCTAAGAGTACTATCACTTCTGCTGACTAAAGCCAACACCTGCAGCTCAGTGCAACTCGCAAATAATGGGAACATCAGGTTACCACGTCTTGTGGCCTCTACAGCCCTGTCAGGCAAGATGGATGTATTTCCCCCTTGATTCCCTCATAGGCACTCACCTGACCCAAACTGGGTGGCTGGACATCAGCTGGCCTGGGAGACAGCCAGCCAGCTGCAAGACACCTCTTGCAGCTATCATGAATGGCTTCACGTATTAAAGGACCAGATTTCTTCAAAAAATTCAAGGTCTGAAACGTCAATCAAAAACTACAGATTAAGACAGCAGTATTATTCAGTCACTAAGGGTCTGGCTAACCACTAAGAGAAATAGGATAATTGTTCACTTAGACTCTCGGGAAGCTCACATCAGCAATATGCTTTGCGTTAGCAATCCGAGTAAGCATTACTACGTAGAGTCGTAAGGACGGCAGCCAAACTAGCAGTTACAGTTTCTAAAAAAAATCCTGTAAAACAAAATATTGGCCCTTGCAATGCTTAAGTATTTTCTCCCTTCTCTGTCAAAACACGGGCCTTTCTTTTTCCCTGAACACTGACACAAATTACTTTCTGTACAAGCTAAAACTAACACACAACTTCAAATCACGCTTTGCATGAGCCTTTATAAGCCTCTCTGTGCAGAGGCTGATTTATGTTGGCAATACGTAGTGAGCTGAAACTTAATTCAAAATTATTTGCCACAAGCTGTGCCCTGGCTTGGAAGTTAGAATTTGGCCAGGGTCGGGAAAAAAAAAAAAAAAATTTCTTCTCAAATACTTCTCAAACACAGTTTTTCACTTTCTCCATTCTGTCCTCCTATTTCAAGCAGACCAGGGATCAAAACCCTAACTCAAGACTACACAGGCAGTGCGACTGAAGGGTAATAAAGAAGAAACAGCTTTCTTCTTAGGAACGCTTTTGTTCTTGCTCCTAGAGCAACGTTGTATTCCCTTCTAGACGTTCAGTCTCGGATCGCGCTTCATCAGGAGGCAGTGCTCACTTTACAGTTCCAAGAGCAGACTGAAAACATTCTCATTTGCATAAAACTGGCAGGGTACAACTGCAATTATGCGTGTGGATGGGCAGGACGAGCATAAACCCATCTCTGACAGTGAAAGCAGTGCAGGAGAAAACTTGGAAAAGGTCCATCTCTTCACATTCTCAATAAAGATTCGGTAAATGATCACCTCCTTCTGGAAGCTGGTGCAAGTCATATGGACAACTCCGGAGTTCAGCAAGCACGTACCATCTGCAGAAACAACCAACATTTGACAAGCTTCCATACGCTCACAGTTACGTTATGACCAGTTTACAGTTTTTAAACAGCAGTATCTGGAAAGACAGATCTCAGTGCCCATCTTCCTCACCAGATCACTTACAGACTTTTTAAAAAAATAATTACTGCGTCTAGAACCTTCATCTCTAGCGCAATCGAGGTGCTGTGCTTTGAGCTTCAGTTCAAAGTCATTTCATTTTATAACCATCACCTCTTCGCAGGCTCTATCATAAAAGCACCAAACCCAAAACTCAGCACACTCTCGGATGTGTTTCACAATTTTAAATCCCACCTTAGTGCAACGTAATTTGAGTTGGGTTTGTGGGAGCTGGGGGTTTGGGGGTTTGGGTTTGGTTTTCGAGTGACAGAGAACAAGAGAACTATTTCATGTCATCTGACCTCAGTTTGAGCTTATCACTATAAAAAGCAGTGAAATACCTACCAAAATTATAGGAGCTTGGATTAAAAAACTGATCAGGTGGTGGATAGGAAGGAGGCACTCCGCGACAGAGACTCTGCTCACGTACTCGAATATCCAAAATGAGGCTTGGAGAAGTCATACTTAGTCCAGTATCCAGTGACCACAGCGCAAAATAGGGGCAGTCGTGAAGGAGTTCTTCCGGCCTTAAAGAAAACAAGTGCATAAGCTAAATGCCAACTTTCAGATGAATTATCTGGGGGGACACTGAAAAGAAGCTAAGAAAAATCTACCTCAGTGAATCTGGCATTTGAGCGTGATACCAGCGGTTAATGTCAAATACACCCAAGTAAGTAGATGGCTTTCCCTCACCATACGTATTCACTTGCCAGCTGAAGACTGATACACTGGTCTCAGGAGATATTACTGTAAAAGACAAGACGTTGTTTCTTATTTGTAGAAAACATGCCGTATCCGATATTTTTAAAGCACCGCTTCCTAGTTTGGTTTAATTCTGTTCTACCACTCATGCAAAAACAACACTGACTAAGAATAAGAAAAACAATTCACGGAGTAGCAAACACCTCTGTGACAGGTTCCAGGCATCCTGCCCCTTTTTCTTGTTCGGATTGTATCCGTTCCAAGCCAAATCAGATACATAATTAGTAGCTTATTAAGTTTTCCACGCATTAAGAGTTGAACAAGACATTTAGCTAGATGAACAGCTGAGCAAAAAAAAATATGCTAGGAACACAGACACTGCTTCTTTTAGAAAGCACACAAATAGTCATCGTATACACTTGTATCACTTAGCCAGCATTACTAATTTCCAGCTTTGTCTCAACCACACATTTTCAGAACAGCTCCTCTCCTGCATGTCCGCACCGAAAGAACACAATTATCACACAAAACAAATACAGAAACAAAAGTTACAGGTATTTTTTCCATGCCTCATACTTCAGAAAAAGGAGGCAGAAAGGGGTTTTTTTTTTGCCGTTTGGGTTTTTTTTGGTTTTCTTGGGGGTGTTGGGGGAGTGGTGTTCTTTTTTGTTTCCAACAGGTTTTTAGAAGGCACTCCTCTCAGAAACATGGCACAAGTGGAGAAAATCCAAAGGTGCTTTGATTAGATTTTGACACACCGTTGCTCGAGGATGGCATCACAAAAGACACGGAAGTTGCCGCTTCAGGACTAAGTCAAAGACAATCAGCAGAAATAGCCTAGAAAGGTCATGCAAGTGTCTTTGTGACACCAGACAGAAGTCAAGGCCCGTAAGAAGCGGGGGAAGGTGACTAACGCAGTCAAAACAAACGGCTATGCAAGTTATCACTGCAGCAGGCTCGAAGATATGGTCAGAGCGTAACTGGATTTGTAAACCCAGAGAGGTATATTTAATTACTGCAAGATAATGAAAGACACCATAAGAGTTTTAACTGTGTACATGGTCAAGGAAAGCTACCGCTGCATCCTGGATCCTGCTCTCCCTATCACCTGGGAGCAGGAGTAACAGTCCATCACCTCCTGACAGACTAGTACCTCTGTACCTGGCAAGTGGCCGAGGGAGGGCAATAACAGCACTGCGCATCCAGCAAGTTCTGGGCCTGCGCAACTGGTGGAAAACACCCAAATAGCTCATCAGGAGCTGGGCCAGAGTGGAAAAGTCCCTAACGAAAGTCAGTTATCCTGGAGCCCATAAACAGTGACCCCAGGTGAGACCCTCTGAGCTCTTCTCCTGGATCGCAGTGGGCCTGTGACCAGCATCTCCCCTGAGTTGGGATGCCTCTCAGCTATCAACTCCTCGAGGCACCGTCTGCTGTCGAAGCCAATGATGGGCTGGGCAAAGTCGCCCCCCTCGGGTCTCAGTTATTGGCTGTTGAGGAATGATGATGCTTTGCAAGTATTTGCTCTAAGTTTGAGAAGAGGGAAATTTTAACCGTAGGCTAGCTTTTCTTCACCCGCCTCTCTACTTATCTATGTGTTTGGGTATACACAGTTGTTTTTACGAGTGTGGGTACATACATATTTCACTGGATCCAAATATTTTTGTCTGTCTGTGTATTTGTACATCTTGTGTTTATGAATAAACATATGTACTTAGATAGATAGATAGATACGTAGATAGATCGATAGACAGACAGACAGATAGACAGACAGATAGATAGACAGATAGAGAGAGAGAGAGAGAGAGAGAGATAGAGAGATAGAGAGATGGAGAGATAGATTTAGGATACCACACAGTAAGTCATTGCGATTCTTGTCATTTTTGAATCTGTACAGTTAAGTCACTATTTTAATCATAACGTATTTTACTGAATTATTTTGTAAATCATTCAAGTGGTTAATGATTAAGTGCTGCTACTCATTAATAAATCTCAATTTGCTGCCAAACTATTACCGTGTTAGTATACCCATCCATGACACCTGGGAGAAGAGACCAACCCCGACCCTGCTCCCACCTCCTTTCAAGTAGCTGTAGAGAGCGACACGCTCTCCCCTCAGCCTCCTTTTCTCCTGGCTAAACAACCCCTGCTCCCTCAGTCGCTCCTCCTAAGACTTGTTCTCCAGAACCTTCAACTTCAAGGTGCGGCCTCACCGGGGCTGCGTACCGGGGGACGGTCACTGCCCCAGTCCTGCTGGCCACACTATTGCTGATACAAGCCAGGATGCTCTTGGCCGCCTTGGCCACCTGGGCACACCTCTGGCTCACATTCAGCCGGCTGCCGACCGACACCCCCAGGTCCTTTCCCGCTGGGCAGCTCTCCAGCCACTCTGCCCCAAGCCTGTAGCGTTGCGTGGGGTTGTTGTGACCCAAGTGCACTCGATCCCCTCATCCAGATCGCTGATACAGATCTTAAACAGAACTGGCCCCAATGCTGAGGCCTGGGGAACACCACTTGTGAGTGGCCGCCAGCTGGGTGCAGATACAGACATAGGTGTGAACAGGGAAAAAAAAAATATTCAGATCACATTCCTAAGCAACGCAGAGAATGATCTTCTTTTTCCAAGAAGACAGCTGGAGGAATAAAATGACTGACAAACGTTGCAGAGATGGCCCTACTATACAGTGCTATAGCATGTCAGCAAGCACAAAATAAACCCCAATTTCCCCCTTAAGGAAGTCCCACAAAACTCAAGCAACCCTTTTGTCTATTTAAATAAGCCCAACAAGCTCGTCTCTACAGATACTCAAGACTTTCTGACTTTCTGTGGGTACAGAACAACATTCACTGCTTAGATTCCCAAACTACTTTTTTAGAATAACCAAGCACGGACATCAGAACAAACCTTCATTAACGCTATCCTCTCCGTCAACCGGCTTGGGAAATTTTTCTACAGTCTGGCAGCTCAGAAATTTGGTATTGCCGGTCGGCCCTCTCCAGGGAAAGACTCCACACGTGAGATCTAAACTGAACCTTTCGTCACAGTATTCCAAACCCTGGGGAAAAAAGGAGAGACAAAAGGTCACTTTGGCGTAAAAACATGCCTTATTCCTAAATATGAAAGAATCTATGTACCAGAATGTAACATAATATGCACCTTATACTGTGTATTTCCCATGAGCTTCTTTCTGATGGCAAACAGAAACAACATCTGGCACGCAAGAGAATCAAGCGTCAAATCCTAAGGGGTATCTTTGGCTGTAAAGGCTTTGCACGTTTTCAAAATTTAGCATTCCCCTATCATTATTCGGTTCTAATCATGTTTTGCAGAAATCCTTGCAACACCAGGGTTTCTTTACAAACCGGAGGACAGATCTACAAAGAGGTATCTGAAATCAGGCGATACATACGCATGCAAAGCTCTTTGCTCTTGATTACAGGACTGAGGATGTTAGAGAAGTCTTGGCACTACAGCAGCTGAAGCTCTGTCAAGAGGTGTTATCTACTGGCACACCACCAGAGCGAAAACACATCCCTCTGTAGTAGCTGTGAGGACTTCTTACCGAGTAACCGTCTCCTTTCAAACCACATAAGCTTTTACCAGCTCCTCCTCTAATCTTGTCACACTAATGGGTGAAATATCCCCCGGTTCCTTCATCAAGCACGGCCACCAGCAAAAGGGGAAGCAGAGAGGATGTGGGAGGCACGCGGCCAAGGCGTTTAGGATCATGAATTACTACAGAGCCAGCAAACTACTTTGAGATATACCGAAACCCCAGCAGGATTGTGCTGAACCTCTGATACCACCTTTTCCTAGGGAAGCATTAATTGAAATACTGTCTTTCCAAATACAGAATTTGTTCAGGCTGTCTACCATGCAACACATCATTGTGTGTATTGACAAATAGCAGCTCTACAATTTAAAACAAAAACAAAAACAAAAACAAAAAAAACAACTCACCAACACCCCCTCCCACCTAACACACAAAATACTACCACCAAGGAAAAACCAACACAACAATCAATTGTACCACACTCTACCGAAGTTTCCTAAACTTTCAGAGCTCTAAAATGAACTGGTACGACACAGTACACTCCCATAGGATTTGATATGATACATCTAAATCACCTAATCTGAGAAGAGACAAACCTCCTCTTAACCGTTCTAGGAAATACTACTAATAAGTATCAAGGCTGGCTTTAAAAAAAAAAAAAAAAAAGGGTCTTTCATTACTGAAAAGAAAAATGCTGAATTATGCTCTGAAGCACGCACAGTTCATTCTATTTTATCAAGTAACTTCTGCAATAACAGACACCACCAGACACGTGCAGAGTAGAGAAGCCAAAACCACCTCTTTGAAAAACTAGCATGAAGCCCAAGCAACCGATCCCGTTTTCATTACAGAAGGAACGATCACTAAAACCAGTTTATAATAAATGATGTTGTCCAGAATGAGAAGTCCATCATTCCAAAAGACCGTTGCATCAGATAAAGTCCTCAAACTCCATAAGCCTTTTGGAGATTAATTTGAACGGCTATCAATTTCCTCTCTTATTCATCTATGAACAGCCACAGAGTTGGGGCAGAGGGGAAGGGAAAGAAGATACCAGTTCCTGCCTGAGACACCTTCTGAAGCAAACCACTGTATTTTACATTTTCCACTGGGGCAAGCAAATCTAAGCTGAGCAACTCCGCTGTATGGAAGGTGTTAAGTAATTACTTTGTGGACCAGTAAACTACAAGGACAGTTTTCAAACGAGATGCGCTGGTCAGACTCGGATATGAAAGCAGAGCCTCTATACTCTGTCCAGCCGCAGGCACTGTGTAGGACAAGGGCCAAGATGTGCTGCATGGCCACGCCTGGGGGCACTAGATTTACCAACTCCCGAGATGGCATAAAAATGATCTTTGTAAGCATAACTTCAACATTCCGTTACATTAATTGCTTGAGCACAGGCTTAAACCAGCCCTGAAGGCAGTGGAGACACAACTCTGATGCTTATTTACAAAACTACAGTGCCACATGTTCCAAAACTCCTATTTGTGACTTTTTACCATGGTAAGAAGTCAGTTGCACTGTCTCATAGCCTCAAGTCTGATTCCTGGAAAGTAAAGCACTGCTGTAGTAGACACAAGTCTTTCAACTTCCTCTGAATTCTATTCAATGAACGAGGGTCAACGCTAGCTTCCTCTTTGTTTACTCAAACTTGGCCTGGCAATCGGGAACAACTCTTACACTTTCTGCCATGGAAGATGGACAAGGATCTTGACTCAGCCAGTCATATAGGCAGAGAGCCATGTGGTACTGACCAATCTCTGACTACAAGGAAGTATTCTGAGACTGAAAGTGTCCACCGTCGAGCACAGGGCCTGGCTTAATGCATCTTTGGGGTTTGGGGAGGGGGGCTTGGGAGTTGTTTGGGGGGCAGTAGGTATCATCAGGTCTCAGTACGAAGCTACACGGCTCATCTGGAAGCGAGCTGAAGAACCCATCTTTTCTCCCCGGAGGCTCCAGCTGTTTAGTTCCTTCTTCAACTCCCTCCCGAGATTGGTTCCTGTTTCAATCTTCCACAGCACTCAGCACAGGGAAGCAGAGGGAGTAAAATATCTCAAACCCAGAGACTGGTGCCTGACACCTGCTGGAAGCCTGTGAATGTACTACTGATTGGACAGTCTGCAGAGGGTCAGGAAGTCTTACAGTAATTACACCACAGCTTTCTCAGGTCACAAACACAACAACATTATTCAATCCTTTGGTGTGCTTTTTTAAAAACGGTGCCAAGCAGAATTTCTAGTAGACCCATTCTTAAAGGCTGCTGAAGGACCTCAGCTCTCTGAGGTGAAATCTGGTGCTACTCACATCTTCAGTTAAGAAGAATTTTATTTGGAAAAGCTGCTGCCTCTTCGGGAGTTGCATGTATATGGGCTCTTTGCAGACGAATCTAGTTGGAACACACGACACTGCAGTGTGAAGTTGTATGACTTGTTCTCAAGAAGTACGGACAAAGGCCACGCCCAAGAAGACTCGGCAAAACATTTTTTTTTTAGTCAGCTCTGAGTTTTGACGGCAAGTATTAGCCCAGCCAACTCAACTGCTACTCACGAAGAGGAAATTACTGTTTTCAGCTTTTGACATACGTGCACGTCTTACCTCGTACATGACCTGTCCTGATGCCAGGCGTTTTCTCTCATGAAATAGTAACTGCAACAGATGTAAACTCACAGCGTCACCTTCACTGAAAAAGGTACAAATTATATGTGATTACAAAGCTGCTTTATAGTCCTTGTCATCACCTCATCAGAGCTAGACCAAAGCCTTCTTAATAGCATGCTCTTGCTGAAAAGAAAAACCCACTGCCCAAAACATGACAACCGGTCACATTTAGCAGCTAAAACACAAAGGAGGAAATGCTGGCACTAACAGCTTTGGGGACAAATGCCAACCATGCAGTCTGAAAGCTTTAATATGCTGTATGGACTAACGTTTGTTGGAAACGGTTCTTCACCGTGAAGCGTTCTCCAGCAAAACTGCTTTACAGTCACACCCAAAAAGATTGACACTCTCTGGACAGCTGGGCTGATCAAGTAGCTTGCTGATGCTGAAAGAGAGAGGTCTTTCTTTCTCCCCTCCCCTCCCCTCCCCACCAAACTTCCCGTCCCTCTCTTGCATACGCTGCACCCTTCCACCTTCTGATCTGATTCATTAGCCCGGCAGGAAACCATCGCCCTCTCTGCTCAACAGTGAGCGTTTTGTGCCAGGTGAGCTGAACCGGCTCGTGAAGGCTCCAGAGGCTGCTGAAGCTGGCACGAGGTGACAGGCAATACTGTCACCTCCCTCCTTCCGGGGCAGCAGGCTGCGGTAGCGGCACGTTTAGTGTTCCAGGTCTGCAGCCTCGGCTCCTTTCAGCGGCAGTTTCATACCACGGTGCGAATATCAAAGAAATCATGAAGCAGTCATCAAGAAACAAAGCAAGCGTTTAAGAAAGCGAGCACAACAATACAGCCGCTGTTGCTTTGCCTCCTTTCGGGAGGCAGGAACCAGTAGGTCCCTCTTCACTTCTGCTAAATCCTGACAAGGTTGCATTATAAGCTTAACGGCTTCCGTACCTGAGAGAATCGTCTGCACAGCTGAACAAACGAAACATATATGCACGTATATATCAACTGTATGCGGACAAATATTGAAAAAAAAAAATAATAATCAGTGGCTTATAGTAAGTGTTTATTCACCTTTCTTGGGTAGACTGAACAGCCCACAAGTAGCAACAGTTGCGAGGATCCTTTTCAGGCTCTTGAAAAGTGACAGCATAGACAGGAATCCTTCCTCCTGCAAGCTGAGAGTGGTCCCTACAGGTTTAAAGAAATTTAAAAGAAAAAGAAAAGAAAAGAAATTAAGAGGTGATCCTACTGGCCCTAACAGTTTGTAGAGGGCTAGAAGCATCTCCTGAGAAAAGAGCACCTTCTGTGCTTATCCTCAAAGTACAGAGGTCATAATTCCCTCTCAAACAAGTGAGTCAAGGAAGCAACTACTTTTTATGCAACTGTCAAAGGGTGAGGAAATTACTGTCCATCCAATGGAACAGCCTGGGTTTATGCCCTTCTCTGCCTGAGGGGGAGGAACACAGACGATTACTGCAGCTGCCAGGCAAATGACTGTTCTGGCTGCTGTAGCCTACTTCAAGATTGAACTTAAAACGCAGCGTATCTTCTGAACAAATGTAAACCAGTGCCAAACAGAAGTAGTTCCTCGTTTCTTTACTTGGACTACGTAAAGCCCCTTTCTTCCAGACTTCTGAACCTTATCTGTACCTTCACAGTCGCTTCTTGCCGTCTAATTATCCCTCCACTGTCTATTTAGGCATCCAACAGTTTCCGGAGAGGCACTGCAGATTTGCTGAAGTGAATCCCTACCCGAATTTGGACAAATATTTCGAGCGAGATTGCTCTCTGGCAGATTTAAAATCATCTCTTAATTTTTCTATTCCTCGTGAGTTCACATGTCCCTTATTCTCATCTCCAAGTGTTCCACGCAAACTCTCATTCACGTGCATTGCTGCCTCAGAATGGCTCACTCCCCTGTTTCGGTCGAGGCTGACACGTAAGAAAGAATATGTTTTCAGGCACAGACCAGCTATTGATTCTTCATGTCTCACTAGTATCATCCGGGACACTTTAAAGAATATCACCACCAAAATCACACTAGCAACATAATTATGCCTTTCAATGCATGCCCTAATTGCAGTAACTTCTTCAGAAAAAGCATTTCTAAGATCTGTTTCATCGAAATACACACATTTCCTGGTTTCACCAAATGCCACCGAAAGAAGAAACTGTCTGATAAAAATCAGCTCTATCACGTCCTAACTGCTTGCCATAACCCAAAGAAGCACGCTTTCCACAATGCCTCAATCCACAGGCACAGTAAGGAAAACAATCCCGGTCCACTGGGGAGAAGGCGGTCCGCTCGGGCCTTGTGTGACTTCACAGCTCTGTCAGAAGAGGATTTCTAAGCATTCTTCCAAGATTACATGCAAAATTTCAGTCCCGGAAACAGTTCTCTTGTAATTAACGTCCTTCCTTAGGCAAAACATGGAGACCGGTGCACCGCCAGGCACAGCCAAGTGTAAAGGCCTACTTACTCCCTCTTCAACGTTTTCATGTTCCACAGTGACAGGTAGCCATCGGAAAAACCCACGACGAGATGATTGCTTCTGCTTATGTAGCTCAGGGTTGATACTGCTGTTCCCGAAGGATTTTGTAATTGAAAACAGAGATGTCTCCCTTCTCTGGCCACAGTTTTTCTTCTCTTTGGAACTCCCACAGGAATTCCACTGGCAACTTCCAGATCTACACACACAAAACCACACAAGGAATGAATGTGTTATGCCATTCACGTTGCATTTTCAACACTGACGTGACTACACGGGTAACCTAATTCTACCAGCCAGGCAAAATACCCATTTATGCAACGCTTCTTTTGCTACTGCCGTCTTCTGTGTATTCAGAGAACATAAGAACTCTCCGATCGGACGGGTATTCTCCCTCGTATGGCAAAACCAGGTAAAAGCGTAACCTTCAGCGACAAATTCGGCTTGGACTTTGGAAATCAGGAGTTGGGGCTTCACGGTGAAGCTATCTGAAGTGCCATCAACTCCCAAAGCCACTGCTGTATTAGCTGGAACAGCGTATGCCATCTGAATACACCAACCGGAGATCTCATTCACCCACATGCATGAATTTTGGAAAGTCGGATTTGTTTCAAAAAGCAAGCTTAAGATCTGCCCCAAGTCAGCTAAGAGAAGCAGAACAACGTTCCCAAGAAATAGGGCACCTCCGGCACAACTTCCTGCCAGGCAGCTGCACCGACTCAGACGGTGAAATCCCTACAGCTCACCGGCAAGAATCACGGGGACATGGGGATCGTGGTGGGAGGGGGGCGTTTACAGCATTAGCGGGAGCACTGGGCCACTCCCATTTTTCATCAGTTCAGGACTAGGTGATGTCAAACTGCCACCTGTAATCAGCACTCATCAATGTCTGCACACGAGTATCTGCAAAGTGGCACGCATACTGTTTGTTAAAAAGACACCAGGTTTCTTCCTTTTAAATTCAAGTTTAAAAAGCGCACGCTTACCCGATGCTTCTCTTTCATTCTGACTGCAAGATAAATTATCCAAGCAAAGGTCAACCAGAAGTAGGTGGCCAACATCTGTAGCCACTGCTGCCACGCCAAAGAGCCATTGCAGGCTCGGATGTAGGTGCCGAGCGCTCGCACTGGTGATGCCTCCGTGATTAGTTATGAGCTCTACAGCAGTTACCTACAGGGAGAGTGCAAGTCAGTATTTAAGCTGCTTGACAAGCTAAACGGAAATCATTCGAAGGTGAAACCAGAATTAGCACATCAGAAACAAGAAGGTAAATACAGGATCATTAGGCTTACAGACAATATCCAATTTTATCAAGAAAAAATAATAAAATAAAGCCCTCTACAAACACCTGGTACTTCTTCCCATTCACTAGATCTCCCGCAGTTACTTAACGGAATTACCTTCCGCTCACATGGCGCATTCTGTTATTACAGCTCACCAACCTCCCTTTGCTACCTGGAAATAATTAAGTCTAAGAAAACACAGAAAATCAGACGTATGCAAGAAACTTGACCGTAATTAAGGGACCGAAGGAAGACAGACAAAACTAAATCGCCTTCTCCCACTGCTCACAGCCCATCGGCACTGGGACACCGGCTACGCCTCCTTTGCCAAACAGGTATTACGATAAATCATGGCTGTAAGTCACACGAGGCAGCGGTCAAGTCGCATGGTAGACGCACCATCTGCATGGGAATTACACATTTTTACACAGTGTTCAAGGGAGATACTGGCTCAGTAAAATTTACGCTCGTCCTCATGGAGGGTAAAGGTAACAACCAGATAAACTAAAAAGTTTTCCATGCACACCAGCACTTTTGTGAATGGGAACAAAAATTTGAAAGGCCAGACTAAAACAGCAGCAAAAAGAACAGCAGCTTGTGGGATAAAAAGCTAACTCCAACTACGGAAGAAGCCTATAGACCAGGAACATTTGTCAAAATACCGTTCAATAGTTCTGAAACATGCAACCATTATAAACCAATTTTAGATAATTAATGCCTTACATTCAGATTCGCTTTTCCAAGAATCCCATTCAAATAATACTCCACTGACACTCTGAGTTTTCTGCTGTGCTTCACGTGTATATCCAGAGGGCAGTGAGAGATGCTCACACACACACACACAGAATTACACCAATATTCTGTCGAAGCTTGAGAGTTTGTTTTTTTAATTCTCTGAGTGACTACACACCTACTCTTACTAGAAGGCAGTTATACGGTCACTATAAATACCCTGTATTAAAACACTAAGGGCTTCACACCTTGGACCACAGTTACTCTAAGCTAGTGTTAAACTCTACAGCTTAGCTGTCCACAGAAGATATACCCACGTGGAAAAGAGTCCAGAAACAAAGGTGCTCATTAAAGCCTTAAAACAGTAACGACTGTTAGTACTGTGGAAAGTGATGTTAAGAACAGATCTGCATTTTACGTTTAAAGATCATCAGCGTGAAGACCAGAGAAACATTCCAGCAGACTCAAAACGCGTATGACGTAACTTATAATTTGGAAGTACGAGTTACCGAAGAAATTCAAAACCTATGGACCGTGGCCAAGTACAAGTTTTATCTACTTGGTTTTGCTTACCCTTACTCCCACACTCACAACTTCAAAGCTAACAGTCCAACTGGCAATACCTCTGCCCTGTCTATGCCCGTCTGCCTCATCTAGTCGCAAAAAGATAGGAAGCAAAATGAAAGCAACAGACCAAACATGCTTATAATCCAGAGCACTAGGGTGTAAGAGCAAACACTCAAATAAGCTGTGACTTTATTCCGAAATCCACAACCTTCATCACACAACAGCCAACTTTTCCCCCACAACGTTTCTTCACATTTTCTCCTGAGGCATTTCTTCGTGCTATAGAAAAACTCCCTAATACAACCGAGAACTACATTCGACCTCAAGTCACTTCTGTAGACACAGAGGCGGTAGGTGACATGGTCCTTCTTAACCTTTCCTTCTCCTATTCCCAGTTCACTTAGATTTAACAAATAAAACTATAAAAAGCAATGTCATTTTCCACAAATGTCATTTGCTTACTGATTATATGCTGATGTCAGCACACAGCATGCCCTTCCGTCTGAAACTCCGGGATTTCTCAAGGTGATAGGCAAACTAACACAGTGGAGCGGCAACCCAACTCCTATCTTCTGAAATTACCACAGTACAAATGCTTACTACTAGTAATCACACTGTAGCATTACAAACAAACAAGCAAAATGCCACCCGTGTTCTAGCAAGTCAAGCCAAATCACTTTACGGAAAGCTGGGTAAGAAAGAAGTATTTACTTGTTGCAGATTCTGGGAGGATAAAACCAGAATGCACCTTGATGTTCAATTAACTTACGCTGATTCTTGTTTGCATTAAGACAATGAGACTAGGGGTCATCACATCATTTGAGCCCAGGGCTTATACAAGACAGAAAAAATTGGCAACATCACAACACTGTATCCCCTCCACACAAACACAATTTCAATAATCAGAGGTTCAAGGGCCACACACGGAAAGTTGATCTTTCAACAGTCTGTCAGATAACTTACTAAAGGCTCTTTTTTCTAACCTAAGGCAACAGAAAGAATCTGTTCTGCTCTGAAGTCACCGGCTTGCTTGTCTGAGACTCATGGGACTGGGTCTAAGTCATTTACAGCACAACTACAGACCTCTGAGATATGTTAAAGACAGTATTTCTGACAGAATAAACCATTCAGGAAATGTATGCTACAGAGACTTTAAAGACTGGGGGGGTTTCCCTTTTCACTCTGCCCCAAAAAGCATAGTTTTCAATGCCCTTTTTTGTGGAAGCGGAGAGTTAGGTAACTATGTGCTCTGCAGTAAAACCACAAAACTTACCTTACGATCAGTCAACTCCAAAGATAATGGTACCGTTAGGCCCAGGATCAAGGCTGCCTTGACTGGATACTCTGAAGCGACAGAATGCTAACGCAATACAGAAAAAATACCTCCTGCAAAGAGACGCTCCAAAGCTTTTCCGGAAACAGGATCGTGCAGCACCTAACAACATAAAAGCTTCGTTTCTCCAATTAAAAAGCACGTACCCTTCCTGGAAGAGCCACGCCTTTAACCACTCTTGATATTCCAAGGTCGTACAGACAGAGAACGCTTCCCTCTGCTTCTTCCAAGCCAACCAGCAGCCCAGTTCTCTTCTGCCAGGAAAACTCCTTTACCACACGCACAGTGGGAGGCTGTTTATTTGCTCCCTGGAAACGGTACGCAGAGAGCCGCGCTCCTGTCACAGAGCTCACCGCCTGGAGTTGAGGACCACACGCCTGCCACGCCAGGCCATGGCTCCCTGGAAGAGAAACGCAAGAGGACTTAAGCAAAGGTCCAGCAGAAGACTGAAAACTGCCGAGAAGTCACAGTCACCGCCCTTTCCTTCAGTAAAAGTACCGAGCAGAGGAAGACCAACCCGCCCGATTCCGGTCAAGTAGTTAAAGCCACCCGTTGAAATCCTCAAGGAATGTATCTGAAAATTAACACCTTTGTTATTTTGCATTTGTACTTGTCACTCCCGCACTGAAGAGTTCTGATTGTTTGGGATAAAGATTACGAGATATTGATCTCTAGTCTGTTTACCATATTCAGCTAGGTTTTGCTAGAATCCTCTAAATACATAGGGGAATACAAGTCCTAAAGCCTACTTTGAGTAGAGCAAATCTAAACCAATTCGTTTCTAGTGTATTCATTTTACTTGCCACATGCCTACTTTGGGCAGGGATTTAGACTTCAGCAAGAATTTATCTTAAAATGGGCACCACATGAGTAAACTCAAACTGTTACACGTGCTGAGCACAGGAAGAATTTAACACGTGCTGTTTCACTGAACTTCCTCAAACTCAAAGCAAGGAGTAACTCAACTCAACCACTGCACTTCCAGTCAGGCAGGTGGACTCTAGCTGGTCTAAACAGAAGCCCAGGCATCCGGGCAGGCACCCAGCTCTACTTTCAGATCACCTAGAAAGTCAATGACCTAATCTGCTCAGCCACTTTCAGCAACTCTCACTGGGTACTCATCTGCGTCCTGTCAGATTCTTGGGAAATACGGATGCAGCGCTCAACAGCCTTCTCCCCCTCCTTCTGTTTTTATTCACACTAGAAAAGTAAAACCAGGGGGGTTTGCCTCTGTAACATTTCGGCATGTGACGGTCACAGAGATTGAGCTGGTACAAATCAATACGGCCCCAAACAACACTATTACTTTTTGGAAAACTGCCTCTTACTGAATTAGAATTTGAGGAGGGCCACCGACCCAGCAACGCTTACGGAAATTGTTCTGATGGCACAAGATGGGTGCAGGCTGCTGTAGTTTCAAAGCTGAGCTACACTAACGTTTTAATATGAACACGTTTAATAGTTAAAACATCCTTTCTGTTCTCGGCAAACCCGACGCATCTTAACAGCACCAACCTGACACAGTTGCTACGGTGCCCCGGTGCTTCAGGTAACCTCCAGGCAATAACATCTTTGCACCAAGACCAAATTTAAAGGAAAATGCTCACCTCCAGAAAACTTCCCGCTCAGCACAGAATCTAGGGTTGTCTCATCTTCCCCAAGTGCCTGAACAGTCACCTCGGGAAACTGCAGCAGACTGCTCGTTACCCGAGCCATCAGGTCTCGCACTCTTCACTGTAAAGAAAAAAAAAAAAAAAAATGACCCACGTCAGCCCTAACTATTTTTGAGATTGACACAAGTTCCATCGGGATGCAGCGAATCATCTCCTGTACATCACCTGTAGTTCTTTCCCTTAAAAAAGCGGCACTCGGGACAGTTTTCAATCTCACAGCAGAGCAAAGCGAGAATCCTTTCCCTTCTCTGATGCCTGTGGGATCACAAACAAAAAGTGACACAGACGTATGGACAAGATAAATAACAGGAAAAAACCCAATACCCTGAGTTCACGTCTGCTCACATAGGCTAATAAGATGCGAGCTGAGAAAAATCGTATTTCACATTGCAAGCAATACAGACTTCCACAGTTCATCATTCAGAAAGTAGTTTCCCATACACTTACGATGGAAACAGAACACAGCACTTTAAAACACTGATATTTTCCTGTTCTGAGATCCTCGTATTCCTTATTCCAGTCCCTTCCTTCCTACTGCCTGCCCTCATCACATCCCTGCAGTCTACTACAGAAATTTCTAGGCCCTTCAGACGGTGTCCACACTTCTACAGGTGCTCCACAAGGAGTTCGTATTTCACTATGTCAAAACAGAGGTGCTGGTGGCAAAACTTGAGAGCTGAACTGATTTACAGGGTTAAATAGGTGGCTAAACAAGAGATATTCCATACACATGGGAATGCAAACTACTCCAAGTTACTACGTTCTGCAAGTTCTCTGCGCTATTGAAAATGGCACCGTAAGAAAGTTCATGCTCTGAAGCCTGTGCACTGGAATCCACTACATGTCCAGTCACAAGCACTCGGGTTGAGAATATGTCCAGTATCTTCTGCCAGCGCAAAACCAAGGAGTGTGGGAAAGGCAGGAAGTGTAAGTCAGGGGCCTGCACTAAGCACAAGTCAACACGTTGAAAAAAGCGTTGCCAATGGCAAAGCCAGTATCGCAGGACGCTGCTGCAGCCAGCCAGCCTGACCACTCTGCCAGCATTCACAGCTAGCACAGATCAAGTTCCAACTGGGACAACTTCTTTGCAGCAGTTTTGCTGCATTTGCTTTTTGGTGCTTGTCAGCGTTTCAAAGTAAACAGCGGGACAGCCTTTTGCACTGCATCCGGGGGCTCCAGAGAGTCAAAAGCCCTCACCTCCCTCCACCCGCTGGCAAAGCTCCGCCTTACGCAGCCCAGGACACCAAGAGCCTTCTCTGCACGGGGGCCACTTCTGCCTCACGGTCAGCTTGGTGCCCAGCAGGCTCCCAGGGTCTCTCTGCCAAGCCTCTTTCCAGCTGGGCAGCCCCCAACACATGCTGGTGCATGGGGTTGTTCCTCCCCAGGTGCAGGACTTGGCCTTTCCCCTTGTTGAACTGCCTGAGGTTCCCGTCAGCCCATTTCTCCAGCCTGTCAAAGTCCCTCCGCGTGGCAGCGTGACCCACCGGGGTATCACCTCTCCACTCAGACCAAAACAGGAGTTTTACTCTAAAAGGCCACGAGCATATCGGAGACCGTCTGCCTCGGAATTCTACAATCAGGCTTATCTCACTCAAGCGCAGCCTACAGATTCTCCTGCAGAGTCTGTGCGGCTGCTCCATAAGCACGAATCTACAGCAGCAGGTGAGAAGAAGAAAGAGTTTCAGCTCTCTAGCCCAACAACCCCCAGCAGAGAAGATCCCGGAGCTGATGCAGCCCACAGCTTTGACTTCCCTTTAAATGAAAAAACAAGCCAAACCACCCCAGAACTTGACGCTAGAGCCAGTTTACCCAGCTACCTCCTGTGGCTATTCCCTGACAAAACTCCGCTGTCATCCAAGGGGTGCAGTCCCTGCCTAACACGGCAGAGTTTGCAAAAGCTCCCGACGTCAGTTCTGAAATGATGCTCTTTTTCACACCGCTTGGTGTACCTGGACAGACGGACGTAGGTGCTGAGTGCCTCAGCACAGAACACACACGCAGCCTTCCTGGCAGAGGGAGACCGTAGTCAGCAGGACACCTCCAGCGCGCCACCCCCCAGTGACATCTCACCGCTTGCCCCTCGCATCACAGATTCCAGAATCACAGCATCACACTGAAGACAAAGGCCTTCCAGAATCTCTGGAGGTCACCCGGCCCAGCCCCCCTGCTCAAGCAGGGTCCCCAGGGCAGGCTGCCCAGCACCCTGGCCAGACAGCTGTTCAATCCCGAATGCTGAAACATACTTTTACAAACAGCAACCTGACAAGCTGAACTGCGGGGACATCTGCAACAGGGCAACAGGCCTGGGTTTTTGGTGACTCTCTCCTACAGATTTAAGTATGTTCTCCCCACGCGAGGGAAACAACGCCACACCAGCAAAGCCTAACTTTTTTTTACCACGCACTCTAATCAAAAGAAGCCTATGCACAATAACCTCCCTAGCAAAGTATATGCCCATGAGAAACTATCACCTAATTAATTAAACAGCTGTGTAGTTTGTGGCAAGATGCAGCTCATTTTAAGTTAAAAACTGAACGGAACTTGGAAGCGTGTCTCCTTGTTTCCCCACTGGGGGAAAGGATGGCTATCATATAATATATATATATAAAATACATATCTATAAAACGTATATAAGCACATATCATAAACATACATATAACAGATACCCTTCGGGCTTTGAAACTGAGAGAAAATGAGCTCCTAACAAAAATTCAGCGTAAATTTCATTTCACTCTACTCAGAGCAGTCCCCTCATCTGTTTCCACCTCAACTAGCCACCCACTCATACAGAGTTCAGAAAAAAGATGAATGGCCTCTTGCAGGATTTTTGATTTTGCACGGTTACATTCCTTACAATACCTAAAGCCGTCCTCACGGTCTGTCTTCTCTGGTTTGCAAAACAGCAATAAATACGCCCTGTTTTGGGTATAATCGTAGCGCACCCACCTTTAAATTTCTTTGTCAGCTTTGTGAGAGGAGGAGAGAAAAGGAAGGACTCCTTTTCCTCAACAGGCCGTTTCTGATGCATGGCAGTTCTGCAGGATCTGGTTCTTGAAACAGGATCTGTTGAAGTTCTTGATCCTTCATCACGTCCTGACAGGTTTATGTCTTCAAGCAGCAAAGGACTGCCATCAGGTCCTCGGCAGAAGGCCTCCTCCCCTGTGCTCTCCTTCAATAACGATCGTCTCTTTCTGCCCCGACGGGCTCTCCTTACTGGACTCTGAAACAGAAAAGGCCCAAACAATAGGCCTCAAACCAAAGTTGACTTCTGAGTGCATTCCCCCACCAGCAATCAGCATCTTAGCAGCAGAATGAAGCAACCAGCACTTATCAGCATGAAAATGCAACCCTGGGAACAATCCCTGGGAACTGTAAGTAAACAATAGGAAGTAACTATAAATCCCAAATGTAAAGAAAAACAGAAACTCCTCAGACGTGCCCGGATCCTGGCCAGATCCGGACACGCCTGAGTGAGGCATGTCAATCTACCAGGTATCTCCTGTGCATTTCGTTTAGACTTGTTTGTTAAACTGTATAAAAGCCAGACCCTCTCACAGCACAGACGGAGACCTCACCTACGAGTGGACACACTGCGTAGGACTTCCCAATTTCTGGGAAAGGCTCTCTGATCCTTCGCTGTGACGGGGCTCCCCAGCTGATGCACGGGTCGGGGTGATGGTAAAGTATGAGGGCAATTGGTGATGGATCTTTCTTAATCACTATAGCCAGCTTTATGTAGTAACGACTAGGTGCATTACCTTGCTTATTCT